CTCAGGAACATGAAGAGCAATACCTTGTCCTTTCTTAGCTTGAACAGAGGATCCACCATTCATTAGTTGCAGTCTCAACTCATGTGCTGCAAACGTTCCAACAGCTTCCTTGAATGTGACAGTCTCCAGATTGTTAACGCCTTCAAATACTAGAATCTGTGAGTGATACTTGACTGGTAGACTATTCAGAAGTTTCTTTACCAGCTTATCATTACTGATCCTTCTCCCAAGTACACTTGCCTCATTTGATAAGGCACTCAACTTCCCACAGAATTCCTTAACACTTTCGTTATCTTCCATCCTCAAGCGTTCAAACTGAAGATCTATCATATCCAATCTGTTTCGTTTTACCTTGGATGTTCCTTCATGAATAAGTTCCAAGGTGTCCCAAGCATCCTTAGCAGTTTCACATCCTTGAATCTGTTCAAACTCTTCATGACACACGCTGCTGAAAATGATAGATAGTGCTTTCTGATTCATAGCAGAATCCTTCTTCTCTTGAGGTGTCCATAAGCTCTTCGGCTTCGGTTTAGCTACTCCATCAATGATATCCGTGGGTCGAGTCCATCCATCAGTAACAGCACTCCAGGTATCTTCATCCAATCCTCGGATATACGAACTGATCTTGACTTTCCAGTGCCCATAGTTGGTAGAATCCAGTAGGGCAGTTTTTCCAAAGTTCTGTAGTTCCTTGAGACCTTCCATCGTGTGAATCTGAACCGTGCACCGATATGAGAGGACAATAAATTCCTACGATCAGTGACCTGCTCTGATACCAATTGAAAAATTACAATCACACGATTTTTCAATAACCAGAAAAACCAAACTGATTCTATTTCTCTGATACGAGTCAAGTACACTTCAACCTTTCCAAGTAGCACTCAACTCACCCGGTCTTACTCCCCCTGAGTAAGACTTCCCGTACCACAAGAAATTCTACCAGTAACACACACTATGTGTGCAACGCACACCCCGTGTCTCCCTAGACAGCGTCTAGGCCTAACGAGCGGTTCGTCTGTAACTTAAGACTCCCCCTCAGGTAAACTCCCGTTCACTCAGAAATCTCTCACCAGTGTTTCCCGTACATGTGCTTTTCCGAGATTACAGACTCTTCTCTCTCAGAAAACTTAATCTCGCTACCTTTGACAATCACGTCTTCAGTCTATATATATCCCGTCCATTGATTCTCTCCATATCTTCATAATATGCATTTTTCCTTTTTCTTCATTGATGCAACTGTCTTCTTTCCTTTTGCAGCTTCTTTCCATTTGTGTTTTCCAGATTCAGCTCCAAACTTCCATTTGTTGATTTGAAGCTTCTAGATGTTGAATATGATGTTTCCTTGCTTTAACATCTGCCAAAAAGATGATTCAAGAAACAGGATTTACAAGCCGATGATCAGATTATGATGATCACCACAGAAAAGAAAGCAAAGACTTTGAATCCTTTTTCAAAAATTCGAAATAAATTTTTATAAGAAAGCGAGATAGTTACCTTTCGAAAATTCTAATATCTATTAATAGTTTAAATATCCTAAACCAATAAAAACCAATTAAACCCAACAAACCCATTAATGATTCATCAATCAAAGTCAAACAATAATTATTATTTTTTTATCTAATTCATTATAGTTATTAATTAGGTATTAATAATATTTTATAAATAATTCAATTAAATTAAAATTATCACATTATTAAAATAAAATAAATTCATAATATTCAATTTATTTCTCTTCTAAAAATAGAAGTAAATAAAATTTTAAATATCTAAATAAAGTTAAAATTTATTAAATCTCAATAACTATACAAAATTTTATTTATCCAAATAAATTGTAGTATCAAAATTTATTAAATCTTAATCATTGTTTGAATAGACATGTGATAAAATCAAATATATATTTTTTAAGTTATATATTTAGATTAAAAATTCTAATAAAGTGATATTACATACCTAATGTAGTAAATCAAACACAAACAATAGAATGTATAAGAATCAAATTCTACTATTAGATTGGGATACGAATTGAAGTATATTTAATTTACAACTATATATAGAAAAGAAGAATGTATAAGAATCAAACGTCAATATATATATATATATATACATATTAAAAAAATTATATTTTTAATAGGAACTTTTAAATTAAGCTAATACATTAAATAGAAAACGTTGCCTATTTTAAAAAAATAATCTATTTAATAAATTTTAAACAATAATCTATTTAATAAATGCAAAGAAATAATGATAAACTAAAAGTAAGATATTAATTTAATAATAGATTTTTTTTTAAAAATTATTAGGGGAACATGTGTTAAATTAACCCTTCGTATTTGTATATGTGATGCATTACTCTATATCAATGTATATATATAAAAAATCAATATATAAATTAATGTATTAATGATAGATTAACTCTTCTCACCTCAAAGTGAATTTACTCCTACTTGAGGACACGTGTCACAGCGAGAATATCTATGATTTATATTTTAGTTTATCATTATTTCTTTGCATTTATTAAATAGATTATTGTTTAAAATTTATTAAATAGCTTATTTTTTGTTTTCAAATTTTATTTACACTGCAAGCAATGTCATTTTAAAATTTTTTAAACTTAGTTCGTTTTGTACAGACTAATATGTAATTTCAATATAAAAACCAACAACAATATTGTCAAGCTTTCTCTATGGGATGATATCGGTGCAGACCTTCACCAATCGAGTCACAGGTATCTAACATATTCAGAACGCCGTTCACAAATACATAGATTGAATATCAGAAAAAGTATCATAATAAATTATTTAAAATCTATATTTATTTTTAATTCGTGCGATATATACGGGTGAATATATCTGTTATATAAACACAAAAATTATGTCAAATCTCTTTCGAAAAAATACATCATCCTATATCTTAACACTTTTAAAAAAAACTTATTTTGATTTAACAATATAAAACTTATTTATTCTCCTTTTTAAACGTTAAAAAAATTAATAATTCAGTTTTTTTTATGAAATTTTCCTTTATAAAAATACTACTCTAATCTTTAATTTTTTTTTAATAACCGGATGTCCTTCCGAGACCGGAATCAAGCGAGACGATTATAACATGCTCCTCTCTCCAATTTAAGATTCGAATTCAGGGTGGAACAAACATTTTGCATCCCCTTTCATCGATTGAGCTGTCCAAATTAAATTATAATCCTTAATTTTATATTATAACATATGAAAATATAAACATATATGTTATTTATAATCATTTTTTAAAAATTAAAAATATCATTATTTCATTATTTTTAAAAACTATTTATATATGAATTATAAATTCAAAAATAAAATACATATATCTAATTTTAAAACTAACATTATTTTAAAAAAATTATACGTATTTATAGTCCGCGCGATGCGCGGGGTTAAAACCTAGTATATAGAAAAGAAGAATGTATAAGAATCAAAGCCCAATAAACAAAATTTAAGAATGCAGAATGTCAAAGGATCAAAACTAACAAAACATAAGAAGGCAGAAGATCAAAACCTCGGTTACAATGAAATTGACAAAAACTTAGATCAAAATCCGAACAACAAATCAATAAAACCACATGAAAGGGATAAGTGAGATAAAAGTGACTTCAGAGGGAGAAATCAGAAGAAGACGAAGATGAAAGAAAGAATGAGAGAGATCTCAATCATACGCCATAACTACAACTGTAGAGTGGCTTGGCCGAGGAAGATGAGGATGAAGAAAAAGTGGCTTCAGAGGGAGAAATCAGAGGAGAGCAGATGAGGCGATCCTCCATCGATAGAGATAATAGAAGGAGATGAACACACAATGGAGGTTGTATGAGACAATCGTATTCTAGATTTTTTTTAGGGTTATAGAAACCCTTTAACCGGTGTTGTTTCAGAAATACCGTCCATTTGCTATTGGACTTCATGGGTACCCTTATAATTTTAAAAATTCCCAATTTGTCCTTGAATATAATAATTATTTTTTATTATTATTTTATTCATGAGATTTTAATTCATTTTCGAAGAAACTTAATATCCCTTTTAGTCGTTTTAATGTTTCTTCAAAAAGCGGGAGCCATGATCCTTCGTAATTATTTTTTGATGAATGTTTTCTAAAGTATTCATCTTTTATTTCTTTTATCGTAATTAATTTATTTAATTCTGTAATTGTATTATTAATTTGTTCTTTTTCTAATGTGTATCGTTTTTTATTTAAATTGGTTAGTGTTTCGAAATATAATACAGGTTCATTTAATAATTCAATAGCATCTTTATATGTTTTTTCCATTCTTATTCGTCTGAATTCATAATATCTCATTTAATTTCTCTTACTGCATTAAATATTGCACTAATCATTTTTATTTTTCCGATTTTCTTCATTAAGTTCATTTCGTTCAATTGGTCCATAAGTTCGTTTCCTAAATATACTTTCTATTGTTTCAACTAATAATTGTTCAAGATGATCAAGACATGGTAGACTTTCAAGGTTTATTAAGGATAATTTTTCAATAAAATCTTCATTAAAATTCATTTTGTAAGATTGTTAATTTGAGTTATAGTTTGTCGTAGTTTAGAGTATTCTTTTTTTTTTCATGGACTAGTGATATTATTGATGGTGGTTCTTGTATTCTTAATCTTGCGTTAAGTCGTAGTAAAGATTTTCGTCATGGTTCAATTGTTGTTAATGGTCTTTTTAGATCAAAATCCGAACAACAAATCAATCAAACCACATGAACCCCCCATGAAATCTCGCTCTGAATGTTTCAAAAAAATCCAATAAAAGGGATAAATCAGATAAACGTGGCTTCAGAGGGAGAAATCAGAAGAAGACGAAGATGAAAGAGAGAATGAGAGAGATCTCAATCATACGCCATACCTGCAACTGTAGAGTCGCTTGGACGAGGAAGACGAGGATGAAGAAAAAGTGGCCTTAGAGGGAGAAATCAGAGGAGAGCAGATGAGGCGATCCTCAATCGATAGAGATAATAGAAGGAGATGAAGACACAATGGAGGTTGTAGGAGACAATCGTGTTCTAGATTTTTTTAGGGTTATAGAAACCCTTTAACCGGTGTTGTTTGAGAAATACCCTCCATTTGCTATTGGACTTCATGGGTACCCTTATAATTTTGAAAATTTCCAATTTGTCCTTGAAAATAATAATTATATTTTATTATTATTTTATTTATGAGATTTTATTTCATTTTCGAAGAAACTTAATATCTCTTTTAGTCGTTTTAATGTTTCTTCCAAAAACGGGAGTCATGATCTTTCGTAATTATTTTTTGATGAATGTTTTTCTAAAGTATTCAACTTTTATTTCTTTTAGGGATAAACCCAAAAAAACACTGAACTTTTCAATTTTGGTAAAAAAACATGAACTTTTTTTTTTGTCAAATAAACACCAAACTTGTTTAACGATACTCGATTACAGATATTTTTTAATCAGTTTTCAAGAGTAGAGGTACTATTCAATAAATAAAAAAGTAAACGTATTAAACTGAGACCAGAGAAAAGTACATGTATTTTACGGCGATTCTCCCTTTTTTTTACAATAAAAAATAGTTCATGTATTTTTTTGGATCATTAAAAAAGTTCAGTGTTATTTTGATAATCCCAAAAAAATTCATGTATTTTTTGGATCATTTAAAAAGTTCAGTGTTTTTTTAGATTCGTTTAAAAATTTTAATGTTTATTTGATAAAAAAAATAAAGTTCAGTGTTTTTTTATCAAAATTGCAAAGTTCAATGTTTTTTTTGGGATTTTCCCTAAAAAAATAAACACGGGTATTAATTTTGAAGTAATTGAAAAATTAGGGTTTTTATTTGGCAAACTTTTTATTTGGGACTTTTTATGGAAGATTTTAAAAAATTTGGGATTTTTTTAGAAAATTTTCCAATAAATATATACATTAATTTACAATTATAATAACCATATTCTAGCTAGATTAAATTTTTATATACAAACATATTTATCGTTCATTTTGTCATGTTTATTTTTACTTTTACTCATTTTTTTACTATAATCATTGATTTAGAAAAATATTGTTTATTCGACATTGGATTAGTTTGATAGAAGTCCGTCTCTATAAAATAATTGGACATCTAATCCATTCTTGGGAATTGAGAAACACCAAAGGTGATTGAATGTTGATGAGTTTTAACATGTGTTTTTGGATGAAAATGTATATATTCTTCTTTTATTTTTTGATAAATTGATATCGGATGCAGATTTAACAAACTATCAATATATCACATTCGTTATTATAATTTTTTTTAACCTTCATTCTTATATAGTTTTGTAGAACATTTGATACTTATACATAATTTTGTATTACAAACCTCTATCGATTTGAAATTTAACGTATACAATTATCGTTGGTTATTCTTAAGAATTACAACTATCATTTACTATTTATAACAATTTTACAAAGCCCGTTAATTCTTTTACAAAGTTTCTATTCGTATATTTCTAACTACCGGAATATTTTTTGAATATCTAAAATTCAAAAACCAAAATATTTTTTGTTTAAATAAAATTGAATAACAAAAAAATAAAGAGTACGAATTCAAATTTCACATGAAAATACTCAGAATATTTGGGATACTAAGACCTCTGCTCAACTAAGTTTAAAAACATAATTTTGTTATTGAATATTAATTTTGGTCCAATGGTTCTATAATAGTTTATGTAAATTATTAATAACGTATTAGTATAACAAAAATAGGAGACTTAATTTTCGAATCTTCTAATAAATATCATATATGTCTAATAAATAACGTATTAGTATCGCTCGGTTCCTGAAGGCTGGGAAGTACGCCGAGCGTGTCGGAGCAGGAGCTCCGGTGTATCTAGCCGCCCTTCTCGAGTATCTCGAGTATCTGGCCGCCGAGGTGATTTTCGTTTTTCTCTTCTCTTTCTCTCTATCTTATTTAATCTACTGATCATCAAGTTTGTCTCTTTCTCTGATTGGTTCTCGTTATGCCCTCGTGAATCTAGGGTTTTGAACTCGACGTTAACCTATCGTTTTGTTAGATTTCAATTATGGGTTTGATTATCTGGGGGTTTGAACTGTCTCGCTTGTACAATTCTGTCTATTGCTGGTAATTTTGGATTGGGTCAGTATATATTTTTTTCTCGTCAGACCTCGAAGTCTACCTTTTGGTCTGTTAGGGCTCAATTGTTCATCTTTCTACATTTCTCTATCTTTGTTTTCGAATTGTACTATCTGGGTTTGGGATAATCGACATGAACGTTGATTCGTATGCATTTCTTTTTTTCGATTTCTGTTACTTTGGTTGTAGTCTTCTGGAGTTTCCTAATTAGGACTACGGATTTTTTATACTTTCTGTATTTTGCTTACACCTTCAGAAGAACCAACTCCGGTTTATGTGTTATTGAACGTTCGTTGCAATGTTATGATAGGTTCTCGAGCTCGCCGGAAATGCAGCAAGAGACAACAAGAAGACCCGTATTGTGCCTCGACACATTCAGCTTGCGGTGAGGAATGATGAGGAACTGAGCAAGCTTCTGGGCGATGTCACCATTGCCAATGGAGGAGTAATGCCCAACATCCACAATCTCCTCCTCCCCAAGAAGGCTGGATCCTCAACGCCTGCTGATGAAGATTAAGCCTGGAACCAAAATCATGGACAGGAAGTCCCTGTCTGTGCCACATGTTTGGCTACAAAGCCTGGTACCCACGATATTAGCTGTAGAACATTTAGCTTTTGGTTTTTCATTGATTAGTGTTGTGTTCTTCCCACTTTCATTTTCCAGTTTTTTTTCTTTCCTTGCCTTGTGTTTTTAGTATTTGTAAACTTGTCACAGTTTGTGTGAATATATGAATTATCTTTAACAAGTTAGGAAAGTAACAATTTTTTTTTCTTTCTTGTCTCTTGATATTGTCCCAGATGGTTGTTTGCCTTTCCCATGAAGTAGCTGGAACAAAACAAGGCTCAAGTGTAGTTATTGTGCTCTTGTCGTAACTAGACAAACTGTTCTACCATTTTGACATCCTCTTATTTCTGTGATTCTTTTGGCTTTGCCAGGAGATGGCAACCTGTTCCAGACATCAGGAAATGTATTTTCAGAGCTTTTTAGGATGTCACCATTGGTCTGAAAAAAACTTGCTTCTTCTGGCTGATGATCTCGCACCTGTTGAGAGAGAAAAGAAAGATCATTTCAATGGCTTATGGGTTCAGGATTATTATCCAGAAATTTCAAGAAAGGAAAACTTTACAAGGATGATACAGACAAATCAATTGTTATCACAACAAAACCAGGTTTATTTCCAAGATGAATCGTGAATGCCGAATACATCAGAAGTGCTGGATATGAAACGCGGCTGGAGGGTTGTTTTAGTGTTGGTGTTATACCAGTGTAAGCTATTCCACCAGTCTGACTCTTATTTTTTTGACTCTATGAGCATTCTTGGAATTAATGGGTAGACTCTTTACAAGCAGTCCCAAGCTACTCAATGCTTCTAACCCTCTCAGGAATTCCTTTATACGAGTGGCACAGAATCCAAAAGCTGAAGTTTCTTAAGGACTTCTAAGGAAGGCAATTCTTCTAGGTAATAGCGGTCCCTCAAGATGAGAGAATGCAGGTTATGAAGCTGACTGAGGGAGCAAGGCAATGCCTTTATATGTCCCCAGTAGATTCAAGATTCTCAGAGCTGAAAACGGTTGCAAGAAACCTACAGGAACTTCTTGGAGCTGAAAGTTACCTTGTAGCAGAAAGGTAGAGACTTTTTCACTCTCCACACTACAATCAGGAAGCTTTTCAAGCTTGTTATTCATCAAAGACACTCTTCGGATTGATGGAACAAAACTTTTCTTGCGGAATCTCAATCAAGCCCATGCCAGATGCAAGGGAGTGACCATCATCTTGGGAGGAAGACATGACCCATAAGAAAAAATCACGGACCACATCATGTATTTTAACCATGCCATCACGAGCACCTTCTTCTAACAAGCAAGCGTCCTTCAAATTCTCGACCAAGGTAATTCCTTCATTCATCGAATATTTGTGGTTAACCTGCTCATCTATGAATCCTTCTGCAATCCAATAGCTCACCAGTTCTATTACTTCAATTGAGTAATCCCCAGGGAACAAAGCGCAGAAGAAGAAACAAGGTTTCATCTTGTCATCAAGCAAGTCATAGTAGATCTTTTCTTCGATGCTCTTGACCCAAGGCACTGATCTCTTTAGATCTTTCAAGGCATGTTTCCATAGCTTGACCATCTTCTTCCCTCGCATGGTTGTCCCCACTCTCATGATAGCCAAAGGCAATCCACCACATTCATGGGAAATTGCCTTTGCCTGTGGTCTAATGCGGTCAGAACTTGCTACTTCCCCAACGTTTTGGCAAAACAATTGCCAAGCTTCTTCTTCACCTAAGCAATCCACTTTGATGTCGACATCTGTCTTCATGCTCCGACAATCCTTCAGGAACCGAAAAGTCAAAAGGACCTTTGAAACTTCGACTTCTTTCATCTGTGGAATGCCTAGAAGGTTTAGGTCAATGGGTTTCCAAACATCATCGAGAATTAGAAGAAAGTTACTGGCTTTCTGAGTCTCCGATGAATTTGTCTTGTCAGCTTCTCCTCTATTTCTACCAACTTGATTGTCATCCTCATCTTTCTACAATTGACATTTTGACCATTCTCAAGTCAAACTCTGCAGAAATAGTTGCCGAAATAACCATATCAATTCTTTCTTTTAGGAGGAACAACCTGTTTCATGTGCTTTGTCCTTGATATGCATATATGGTAAGAAACTCGCAACCATTCTCGAGAGAGTTGAAACATTTGAGAAGCTAGGCAAATATCTGGTCGAATCATTTCATGTAGACGGTTCATATGAAAGAGTTGAATACATACTAGGGTTTTCTATTCAAAATCAAACAACAACATCATAGATGTTGGTAGACATTATGGATAGTTTGAAGAGACAGAAGGTTCAAACTATCTATAATGTTTGCCAACATCTGTGATGTTGATGTTTGATCTTGAATAGAAGATCCGGTATGAATTCAACTCTTTCATATGAACCATCCGCATGAAATGATTCGACCAGATACTTGCCTAGCTTCTCAAATGTTTCAACTTTTTCGAGAATGGTTGAGTTTCTTACCATGTATGCATACCAAAGATAAAGTACATCAAACATGTTGTTCCTCCTAAAAGAAAGAATTGGTATGGTTATTTGGACAACTGTTTCTGCAGTTTGACTTGAGAAGGGTCAAAATGTCAATTGTAGAAAGATGAGGATGACAATCAAGTTGGAAGAAATAGAGGAGAAGCTGGCAAGACAAATTCATCGGAGACTCAGAAAGCCAGTAACTTTCTTCTAATTCTCGATGATGTTTGGAAACCCATTGACCTAAAACTTCTAGGCATTCCACAGATGAAAGAAGTCGAGGCTTCAAAGGTCCTTTTGGTTTTTCGGTTCTTGGAGGGTTGTCGGAGAATGAAGACAGATGTCGACATCAGAGTGGATTGCTTAGGTGAAGAAGAAGCTTGGCAATTGTTTTGCCAAAACGATAGGGAAGTAGCAAGTTCTGACCGCATTAGACCACTGGCAAATGCAATTTCCCATGAATGTGGTGGATTGCCTTTGGCTGTCATGAGAGTGGGGACAACCATGCGAGGGAAGCAGATGGTCAAGCTATGGAAACATGCCTTGAAAGAGCTAAAGAGATCAGTGCCTTGGGTCAAGAGTATCGAAGAAAAGATCTACTACGACTTGCTTGATGACAAGATGAAACCTTGTTTCCTCATATGCGCTTTGTTCCCTGAGGATTACTCAATTGAAGTAATAGAACTGGCGAGCTATTGGATTGCAGAAGGATTCATAGATGAGCAGGTTAACCACAAGTATTCGATGAATGAAGGAATTACCTTGGTCGAGAATTTGAAGGATGCTTGTTTGTTAGAAGAAGGTGTTCGTGATGGCATGGTTAAAATGCATGATGTGGTCCATGATTTTGCCGTATGGGTCATGCCTTCCTCCCAAGATGATTGTCACTTCCTCGCATCTGGCATGAGCTTGATTGAGATTCCGTAAGAAAAGTTTGTTCCATCTATCCGAAGAGTGTCTTTGATGAATAACAAGTTTGAAAGGCTTCCTGATTGTAGTGTAGAGTGTGAAAAAGTCTCTGCCTGCCTTTCTACTACAAGATAACTTTCAGCTCCAAGAAGTTCCTGTAGGTTTCTTGCAAGGGTTAATCTCTTTTGTTTAATCCAAGAAAAATGGAACATCTCTATATCTAATAAACTACAGATTCGAATTAAAGTATTTTTAATTTACAACTATGTAAAGAAAAGAAGAATGTATAAGAATCAAACCCCAATAAACAAAATCTAAGAATGCAGAATGCTAATAAATCAATAGAATGTCAGATCAAAACTAACGAAGCATGAGAAGACAGAAGATCAAAACCACGGTTACAACGAAATAGACATAAACCTAGATCAAAATCCAAACAACAAATCAATCTAACCACATGAAAAAAAAACCCAGAAATTCTTGCTCTGAATGTTTCAAACAAATCCGATAAAAGGGATGAATCAGATAAAAGTGGCTTCAGAGGAAGATGAAAGAGAGAATGAGAGAGACCTCAATCCTACGCCATACCTGCAACTGTAGCGTCGCTTGGTCGAGGAACACGAAGATGCAGAAAATGTGGCTTCAGAGGGAGAAATAAGAGGAGAGGAGGCGATAACAACTGAGCAAGACAATCATGTTCTAGAGAAACCCTAAAACCCATAAAAACCCTACAACGGATGCAGGCATTAAGTGAAAAATAAAATAAAATAGATTTTAAATGAGTTAAAATGGTAAACCCAAAAAACCTATTGGGTAAAACCCATACAAACCAATAATTGAAAGAAGCCCAAATATTAAACCCAAAACCATTTATTTATCAGAATTCGTACACATGCATAAATGCACATCCAGTTTCTAAGTAAATAAAATTTTATGCTTCTATAAATCACTTGGAAAACATTATTATTATATACCCTCTATAAGGCGTAGACACAAATCGGATATCCGTGATTTTTGAAATATTCGTATCCGATCCGCACAAATACTCGATTTTATTATCCATATTCGATCCGTAATTTCGGATATCCGCGGATATTTGCGAACATCCGTATCTGACATAAAAAAATTATAAAAATTTAATTCAAATTTAAATAAAAATTTCAAATATAAATAAATTATACAAATTATTTAATTTAAATATTATTCATAATTTAAAATTCAGAATTTAAATATGTTAAATCAATTCAAATACAAATATAATCATAATCTATCATATATATAAATATATTGAAAGTTCAAAATTTTATAAATTAAACATAATAAATATTAATATTCAAAAGATTAAATATTCTAAATCTCAATATATATAAAATATTTCTTAAATATCCCTACAAAATATGTAAGTATAAAGCATTTAATATCTCTATAGCAAATTATTTTTATATTTAATAATATTATTAATTCGTACGGATCGGATCAGATATGTTGGATAATTCGAATTTGATATCCGTATCCGATTTGTATTCGACAAATATTTCAAAATAAATATCCATATCCAATCCTAAACTCCGGATATCCGAATTTTCGGTTCGAATACGGATCGAATAACGGATCGGTTCGGTTTTTTCGGATATTATGTCCACCCCTACCCTCTATAGCAAATTTCAAGATTTATTTCTCTTATATTTTTAGTCGTATCCGTAATATTATTAGATTTTTGGATGGAAATATTGTGGAAATGTTATATGTCCAATGATGAGTTGTTTTTAGGAATTGCATTTTCTTAATCATACCATATGCAAGTAACCATACAATACAGAACCTACACCGAGAATAACATGCCTGGAGCCCAAAAAAAAAATACAACAAAAGAATGTGTTTCTAAACACTAGATTGAAGATTCAGACAAAGTGCAGCATGTCACCTGTCCTGACCCTTCAGGTATTTTGTTAGAACAACAGATGAACGACTCCTCCTCCTACTGTGACATAATCCTCAACTGGTTTCCTTGTTCCTCAACCTCAATGTCATTAAATCTCTCATTCGACCAGTGCTTCTACTTCTGGTTTTAAAAACAGAGACGAGACTGCCACCTAAAACACAGAAGATTGTATGCTTATATGCGATGAAAAGGCGGAGCCTTTCACACTGGATGATACTGCGTTAGTCGCTGTCTGAATCTGAGCTACTAGATTGGTCTGAGCGTCGCTCTGCAATAGCTGGAAATAGCCTTTGCCGAGGATCTAATGAAGGCGGCTGGCTAGTGTCAGAGGAGGAAGCTGATGCTATCAAACTCTGCTTCTGGTTCGTCTTTATTGGCCTCTTTCTTGAATCTCTTACTTCTTTACACACCTTATCTAACATTATCAAGAAATCACGCACAATTATAAACAAATGCAAGCCCTCGTCTTTACCAGCTTTCCCATGGAAGTAGTCTCCCGTATTCTTCACCAGAGTCATTATTCTCCTCTCTTCTTCTACCACCTTCTTGATGTCTGCCTCAGCATTGTGGACAAAATCCTTCAGTGCTTCGTGAAACCCACTTTCTTCGCCTGCACTGTTCATCTCCGAGTTGAGAAAGTCTCTGGATTTCGACAAGGCATGACCCATTTTGTGAACAGTCCCCGTTAAGCCATCTGCATCGATGCCTGTAGCCTTTTTTACGTTTTCAAGTTCACTGCTCAAACTCGAAACTTTCTGAAGACCAAGGCTGCGGTAATTTTCCTCCGTGTCTTCATTAGTTTCCTCGGCCATAATATCTTCAGTTTTCACACTAGAGAAGCTTTTGCTCTCCCTGGTGGTACGAGCAGCTCTAACACCTTCAGACCGGATTATCTCTTGAACCACGAAATGGAGGAGGGTTGTTTTCCCATCAGTTCCCTTTACGTCTGACAACTTCAACAGTGTGTCCAGCTTGAAAGCCTGAGCACCACCCCTGAATGTACCATCATTCATGCGATTGCCCGTCTTAAGAACTGCTTCAAGGAGCTTCAAGAAAAGCCGGCTGCTTCTAAGTTCTTTGCAAGCAACCTACAAAATGTATCAAGGAAGACGCATTCAAAGAAGAGAAGAACCCAAGAGGAAGATAGTGCTATTATTCTCAGCTAATCAGTTTTAAGAACAGGTTCTGTTAAGGTTAACAGGACCTACCTCTAAGGTGGCAAATGATTCAGTAACAAAGGTCATTTCTTCATCGAGAGTACACATAAAAAGCAGAGCCTCTAGTCGCTTGAAAGCAAAAGGGATATCAATCAATGCTTTTAGGAAACGTTCAGCTGGTCCTAAATGTGCTATTTCTCCACAGTATAGTCTTAGCTTTAGTTCTTCGTCAGCTGTTGGTGCCATCTTCAATAGAGCCTGAAGAAATTCTACCGGGAGCTCATTGCCTGATTCAACAATATATGTTAGAGCATGATGTCACAAGGGACACGAAGAAACGGCTACAAATATAAGTCCACTGGAAATATTGATTTAATTGGGTTTTCTGATCATTTTGCTGATATAGGCACAGATAGATTATTACTTGAGCTTTAACTATTTTCATTTTCCAACAAAAGAAATGCAATGAGAGGGAACCTACCTTCATGAAGTGCGTCGCGGACCTCTTCACTTGTTGTATTCAAAGCACGCAGAAGGATAGACAGATTCTGTGCTTTCTTTGGATCAAGAATCTGAACAAATTGTGGTAAGGCAGATTGCGAAGACAAATCTTTCCTTTCACCTTTGTTCTTGTCTGCAGTCGCATATCCAAATAGCGACTCTATCATCTCTTCATTGAACCTGTAATGCATCACAAATGGATTCTTATCAGCATCCGTTCACAACAGAAGAACAAAATCGCAAAATCATGCACGCAGTTGCCCAACAGAGGAAAACCCAAAGAGGAAGCTGTAACTCACTGGAAGGATCCTGATCTTATCTCATTCCAAACCATTGAATGGTCAGGGTTAGCTTGCACTTTATCCCAAAAAAAAGGTTTCAACTTTGTTTTAGGAGCATCATCCTCTGAAGGATTTACAGATCCAGAAGCCGGTCGAGGAGCTTTAAGGCCTGGAGCCAATGGTGGAGGTGGACGAGGTCCCTTGAGTCCTGAAGCAGCCGGGGGAGGTGGTGGTCGAGGACCAGGTGGAGCAGCTGGAGGAGGTGGCCGTGTAGGACCTGCAAAGGGCTTTGGTGGCGGTCGTGCCACGGGGGCTGGTGGTGGCAGCGGAGGAGCAGCAGCCGCACTAGGACGTACCTTAAGAAAAGTTGGTGGTTCTGGAAGAAGAGGCTCCAACTTTCCAGGAGGTGGATTCAAAAGAGGCTGTCCTGAAAGGTTAGAAGCTGTCCCTGCCATGCCCGGTGGGAGCTTCAGAGGTGGCATACCCTGATTGCTCATACTGTTACGTGCTGCTTCATTCGATTGTCTTTCTTTCGGCGAATCATCCGAATCAGCTAAAAATTTGTTGTGCTGCTTTTTCCATTGGTCCGAATAAATACTGAAGGATTGATTACCCCCATAGCTGGGGGAGGAGCCTGAAAACCAAAGTCAATTAGAAAAACGGTATACTTCAGGATGTTCATTTGTAAGACCAGTATGAGAAAGTGGAGATATTACCAACAGAGTAATCACTCATGCTTAGACTGAGAAGAGGCCGCTCATCATTTTTCTTGCCTCCTAAACCATGTCCAAAAACCCTAGTGCAACACAAGAAGAACAATGCAGCGAATACAAATGTCACTACCGCAGTTACAACAACCGCAATGATGACTGTTTTCTGGTGGTCATCTCCTCCTTTACCCGGCTTAACAGTCACAGAAGTTGAATTACTAGAAGAGTTTCTCTTAGCAGGAGGAGGGGGAGATATCGTATTATCTGTTGGTGGAAAAAAGGAATTCCGAGGGGAGTGTGCTCTTGAACGAGTAGGTGGAACCAGACTGCGCTTGGGGGCAGAGGCAAACAAGCCAGGAGATGGGGAAGGGGAAGGGCCAGGGCTAGATGCTAGTCTTCTCCTTGGAGCGTTGGCCAAAGACAAAAGGAACTTGAGGTACTTATGGTAATGAATCTCAAATCCACCTTCTTGTCCAAATACATTAATCACCTTTCTGTTTTTTCCGTTGCAATCAAGAAAGATCTGCCTCATATGGGAGTGCCTCATACCAACCAGTTTCTCACTGTTTTCTTTTGTTCTTGGCAAACATAAGCTGAATTCCGCAATAGCCTCCTTCACACAGTCTACATCTTGCCTGCAATTTTTCCATAACAACTCTACCTGCAACATCACATTGAATACAGACAGATTTAAAAGCTAAACATCTACAACAACAAATTCAGTTTGTTAGCTTCTTGGTGTCAGTTAACTGTCAGCTTGGCAACATATCCAAAAGAAAAACTCTATACAAAAACAAAAGCTAAGGCGGCGGAGAAAATTCTTGGTGAACACCTTATTGTGTGAAGTGTGGAAGAAACATCACATGACTTAACTAGGAATGCAAAATCCCCATACGGAAGGACGCATAACAAGCATTGTGCGATGAACTTAATGTCCTTTCTCAAACATCTAGACTGTTTGCAGGGAACATGAATCAGAAGCATAAGCACAATGTCAGTGACTAAAACCTAGCTTCTGGCAAGAAATTAGGGTATTTGTCTGGCGGCAGAAAGTATACATTACACGTCAAATAAGAAATGATCATTGATCAAACATGATCTCCTAGCTCAAGTATTCCAAACCCTAAACGATTTACAGGAAATTCAGATCAATCCTAACACGAATGCCCTGCAAGAAAACATGGAAATAACACATACCATGCGCTCCTCGACCTGTGTTATTGTCGGGACGACAAGTTGACTGAGAGAAGTCTTCTCTTTCCC